TATATTTCATTTTGGGTACCATACATACACAGTTTTTGATTTGCTCAACTAAGAAAGTGAAAGATTTCTGAGGTTAAACTCCCAGCTTAGACTACAGTAGCTAGTTTGCTACAACTGTAGTTTCTGTCTATCTGACTATCCGTACACCATTTCTCTCTGTCTCTGTCCATCAATCTGTCTGTCTCTCTCTCTGTCTCCATTCCTCTCTCTCTGTCTCCATCCCTCTCTCTCTGTCTCCATCCCTCTCTCTCTCTGTCTCCATCCCTCTCTCTCTGTCTCCATCCCTCTCTCTCTCTGTCTCCATCCCTCTCTCTCTCTGTCTCTATCCCTCTCTCTCTGTCTCCATCCCTCTCTCTCTGTGTTTGGTTGTATGCTTATTATTACTACTTATATGCCATTGCTGGTGTCAGTTGGAAGGATTTCCCATTTTGGGAAGAGAAGGCTGCCTGTCCAAGAGTAATGACTCATGGAATGAAAGAGTAAGAACACTGCACCTTTTTGTGCATACTTCTGAAAGAGATGGTCAAATTTAGGCTGGCCTTGATGTTGGTTTCCCCATCTAGGAAAATACCAATGCCACACACAAAAACAAGCAATTTTTTAAAAGTAATATGTAAGGAACTAGAGATTAAAGGAAAAAAGGTGATGACATGAGATGAGCAGCATGCATTAGCATAGGGTAGGAGCATTAGTGAGTTTGTGGAAGGTCCCTGCTTCACTGGGGGGTACGCTTGAGGACCGGGCATAACAAACTTAACAAGCATGTGTTCAGGCTTCATCTAAGTAGTTCACCAGTTTACCTAAATGGGCTGTGTGTGCAAGCTGCAGAACATGTTATGCAAGAATGTCCCTTGTACAGCCTATTAAGAAGAAAGTACTGGTCCACTGAGCCAACACAGTACACAAAGTTATATGGAGCTAAAAGGAAACTCCTAAACATAGACAATTTTATCACAAGAATTCGTCTGTCAGTGTAAATCAGAAAGTGATCCCAATAAAAAGAAATGGGGGATCAAGAGCAGAAGAAGTATCTTTTACATAAACTTGTCTACATATTTTTGCTTTTGTTTGTCTCATATTCAATGCCATTTATTCGGTGCTTTGCTGTTCTCCTTATGTTTTCCTGGTGTGATTGCCATCTATTTCAGTCCCTACTTGATCAGTCAGAATGTTATTATGCAGCATATGTACAAGATAATTAATTTGAGATTTAATGAGGGCTTGGTAATCTTTTTTTCATTCATTGTATTAATCTGTTTGACTATATTTTCATTCCCACATTTATGTCACAGATATATATCTTAATATCTTTTATTTGTATAGTATTTACAAATTATTTTACATGGGCAGTGTGATATTTGTTATTTTTATTTTTTTTATTTTTTTAAAGTGTAATCAATCAAATACTTATTTATTGTATTTGCTTAATCATATTTTTTTTCATGACACAATCAAAAGTTCACAAGGACAAACAACCATGACTTTCAGCTGGAACTCACAGTCGGTGAACGCAAAAAAACTAACAAAATTAACAGCATCAATAGAATGGAAGAAAAAAACTGACCCTGTGTGACATATCAGAAACAACAGGATGACAGGAATGAAAAGTGTTAAAAAATAAATGTCTCTGAAAAGAAATGTCTTGAAATAAGCTTCTGACAGGTAAAATTAGAAAAGTCAGAATTCTCTAACTCATGATGTAAATGGAGGTATGTTTAAGAATTTCATAATTCTTGGATTTATTTAAAGAAATATAAATGATAAGAATGTCAGAATTATCAGAGTTGTGAAGTAAATTATACTGGTAAGGTCAGATTCTAAACCACTGAAAGAAGACATGCTTCTACTGCAGAGAGTATAGTCTGGAATATTATCTTGTCATGTATACAGTAAGTATAGTTTTATAATTATGGTAAATATACATAAATAGACATTAGTTAAGATTCCAGCATCACTGCCAAGGGGTTACTCCATAACTGCTCCCTTCTGTCCGAAGAAATTACACAAAATGTCCTGTTTGTAAGCTAGTGAAAAAACATGTCAGACTCTGCAAAATCTTGAAGCTCAAACACACAAAATAAATTCATAATGCAGCTGTCAGATCTGCCAACACAAACAGTCCTATGCCAGAATTGCAGCTGACTGTTGATGCAAGCAATCAGTTACCAAAGCCAGCATTGTACACACAATTCTGCATAAGTACATGCCATTCTGAATGTATTTGGCCACATGCCATTTTTAGTGCAGGTCATAACTCAAAGCTATCATGGTGCACGCACACACACACATGCACACATACATACACATATACACACACAGGCATGCACACACACACACACAACATTCAGCATGTGTATACATATATAGATAAAGTAAATACACTTCTGGTAAAGTAAATACTCTCTAATACTTCAAACAAATAACCTGCTTCATGTATTTTTCTTAATGGCTGACACCTTTCTAGATGATGGTATTATTCATGCTATAAGTTAAAGTCAAGAGGATTCAACTTCATTGCACGGGGTTTTATCCCAAATGGCTCAGTCTCTCTCTCTTCAGAACGGCTTGATGTATGTCGAGAGCATCGCATTGAGCACAGACTCTGTAGCTTCGGCAATGATCCCCAGGGATTTCCGTAAAAATTTTGCTTGAGGCAAATGGCTTAACCACTTCACCACAGAAACTCCCTGTGCTACAGGGGACAAGGGAATCACAGCCCATGGTGATGGCGAGTGTGACTAGTCAGATACATTTTAACGGTCATTGTCTGTTTAGTTTTGTTAATTCAGAAATTCTTGAGAGCCATATTGCCCTGAAAGTTGCTGAGCACAAATTTCATATTTATGTGTTCAAGCTATTCTCAAAATACCATGGACAAAGAAGAAGAGAAATACTGACATCCTAAAAGATCTTAACATCGAGGAAGAGTGGCTTGTAAACAGTATCTCATCTTAGAAAAGGAAATATTTTGGTCATATCAACCATCATGGCAGAATTAGGAAAAATAATGATAGCAGAAGGTATGGTACCAGAAAGAAGGGCAGGGACTGACTAGTATGAAGATGGGCACAGGATATGAGTGACACCTTGGGTAGGAAAGTGCAGGAAGTGGGAGAGCTGGTGAGGGACTGAGTATATGCAGACCTGGAGAGAGTGATGCTCTGCAAAGGACCTGCTACATGATGATGATTTGTTTCTGTTGCTAACACACCTAGTTAGTGATGGCACCTTTATTTAGACATCTCCATCTAGCCAGGCGTTTGCTGAGCTGAAGTACATTTTTTTTCCCTTCGACTATTGACTGTCCTTCTTATTCTTTCGTTCACCTGAAATAAGTTTTCCAAATCAGCAATTTCGTCTCTTGTATAAATTTCACTGTTGTTTTAGTTTATTCCGTGGTCCAATTAGTTTACGTTCCACTGTTGTTCTTTCTGGCCAAAAGGTTTGCCCTAATGTGTCAAATTCGGTGCAATCCTGGAGTACATGCTCTGCTGTCTGGGGCACCTTTCCACAGGTGCACATGGCTGATATGCCTATCTTGAATTCTGTATACATGTAGTTACGTAATCGGTTGTGCCCTGTTCTGAGGGGGAGGATAATGACATTGACTTTACTAATTTCCTTTACAGCATTGAATCAGATCTCGCTTGTTCCTTTGTCTAATTTCTCGGGGGTCTCCATGGCGTAATGGTAAAGCTATTTGTCTTTACTTTAAAGGTCGTGGGTGCATTTTACAGACTGCATCATTTAGTTCAAGAGAGGAATTTTTTGCCGAGATGCCTGGAGATTGTCACTGGAGCTATGAAGTTCATGCTTTGTTTAGTGCTTTTGGAAGGTGACTGGCCTTGTCTCTGGAGAGCGGCTGAGCTGTCTTGGATAAAACCCGGTGCAATTAATTTGGTCCACTTAAACGGTTGCCTATTTTTTACTGGTGTGGATACAAAATTATGCCTATGAGTTTATTTTTGCTGATATTTTATAATGATGGTACATACCTTACCCATGAGATTACCTGTTCCCTAACAGCTGCAACAAGCATCAGTCTGGCTAACTCATCCCATAGAAAACTTTAGCTGCCAAATCTAACCAGTTATAAACCAGTTTAATAAAAGTGTGATGTCCATTGGTTGAGGACCAATGCTCCATATAAAAATAAAAATAAAAACAAGAGAGAAATAGAGAGAAAGATTATCTCTTTCATGTGAAGTATTTTTTTTATTTTTTATGACTGTAGTGGATCAAGGGCCTGCTTTTACAGGAAAAGGGGGAGGGGGCAACAGCCCCCCAACAAGCATGATTTAGTGGGTGACTCATTAGGGGTGATATTTGTTCAGTATGGAGGATAGGCAGGTTTAATGTTTTCAGATGTGGCTAGTTTTTGCTTCTAACAATAGTTGGCTGATGCATTTTCCTTCATATGTAGACTAAAAGGAAATAGTTGTGTCGCCCAGCCAGAGTTTAGTGCATGGCATGACACTGTTATCTGTGAATTTCATTTGGAATTATTATTTTTTTGCCTGTGACCAATTTGGTTTTTGTTGTGAACTGTTTATTCAGAAAAGGGCAAGTGGCCTGTGGCCAAGGAACTAACTGATGGTGCCTCATATGGTTAATCCTGAGTGCAACTACTGATCTCTTGTAACTGCTGCTTCCATCAATGATGAACTGTATTTCGAGTGCTGAACTGTTTGTGTTAGTACTTCTGACAGCTGCCTTATGCATTAAATGCATGTGTCTATTGGATATGCTGAGACTGCATTCTGTGACAGGAACAGAGCAACTATAGGGTGACCATTTGCTATGAAGTGAAATTGTGATTACCTGATTACCTGTTTCTTGTTTTTCTACTTAAAAGTCTGTGTCATGTGGCATTGATAACCATCTGTGTCCACAGCCTTCTGTATCATGTTCTGGCAAGCATTTCTGACCACATAATGTTTTTCTACGTGGAGTATTGTTTATAAGTCACTAAACACATATGTATTTATTTCTCCTTACAGAAAAGAAGAACCTTAAGGCAAACACTGCAGAAACAAAGAGAGGAGCTGAAAAAACCCAACTCAGTTTCTAAGCAACCCAGTCCTTCTTCAATGCATGCTACAACCCCCACCACCAATGCCAACTCTCTGATGGTCAACCTGGAGAGCAACAACACAAAACCAATCAGTCCCTTCTATCGCAGGCCCTCTCTCTTGGAGGCAACCACCAACAGTGATTGTCTGCCCCCACCTTTACCCATGGGCTACCAGCCCCCAGGATATGTCCCGGCTAGGTCTGGGCGAACTGTGACCTGGCACAACCCATCACACAACCCGGATCATCTGGTTTAATCTTGAGACAACCAGCTGTGGTAGAAACAGTCTTCAAATTGTCAAACATAGGTTTTATACTCCAGTACTGAAACTGAGACATTGAGATCTGGTTCATGCTGTTCAGTGTTGTGTTCAGTGATCAGTGTTATAGAATATGTATCTTCTATAGAAGCTTCCCTACAGATACCTCTGTATCATAAGTAAATGTAATATGCTCAAGTTTCTGCTGTGTTAGACCGTTAGTGCAGTCATATTCCATGCTGGTATGTAATTCATGAGGTCAGTCAGTCTGAATATTGGTGTGGGAATCATCTGATCATGTCCATCCAAGGTGTCCTAATCTCAGTAACTCATCAGCAGAATGTGTCTGTTCCCTAATGTCCTTGCATGCATCTATGAGAGAAATGTTTCCTAGCTTGACCTGTTGTTCTCTTGTCAATGCTTACCACATGCTTTTTGGGGGAAGCAGTGGTTCTGTTCTTGTTTTCACCACAACAGTGTCCTGGACCCTATATGAGGAAGATGCTGATATTTAGTAGTTGTCTGCTTTCTCCAGTGTTAATTTATTGTTATTTTTTAATAATTTTTTTATATCTTTTTCCTGTCCACCTTATTATTTGTATGCAGTGTACAGCTTTGTATCATGTGTCCAGTTTATTCTTTGTATCCTGTGTCCAGTTTATTGCTTGTATCCTTGTGTCTAGTTTATTCTTTGTATCCTTGTGTCCAGTTTATTCTTTGTATCCTGTGTCCAGTTTATTGCTTGTATCCTGTGTTCAGTTCATTGCTTGTATCCTGTGTTCAGTTTATTGTTTGTATCCTTGTGTCCAGATTATTCTTTGCATCATGTGTTCAGTTTATTGCTTGCATCCTTGTGTCTAGTTTATTCTTTGTATCCTGTGTTCGGTTTATTGCTTGTATCTTTGTGTCCAGTTTATTCTTTGTATCATGTGTCCAGTTTATTGCTTGTATCCTTGTGTCCAGTTTATTCTTTGTATCATGTGTCCAGTTTATTGCTGGTATCCTTGTGTCCAGTTTATTCTTTGTATCCTGTGTTCAGTTTATTTTTTGTATCCTTGTGTCCAGTTTATTCTTTGTTTTCTGTGTCCAGTTTATTCTTTGTATGCTGTGTCCAGTTTATTGCTTGTATCCTGTGTCAAGTTTAACTTTGTATCCTTGTTTCCAGTTTATTGCCTGTAAACAGTCTCCAGTTTATTCTTTGTATCCTGTGTCCAGTTTATTTCTTGCATCCTTGTGTCCAGTTTATTTCTTGCATCCTTGTGTCCAGTTTATTCTTTGTATCCTGTGTTCAGTTTATTTTTTGTATCCTTGTGTCCAGTTTATTCTTTGTATCCTGTGTCCAGTTTATTCTTTGTATGCTGTGTCCAGTTTATTGCTTGTATCCTGTGTCAAGTTTAACTTTGTATCCTTGTTTCCAGTTTATTGCCTGTAAACAGTGTCCAGTTTATTCTTTGTATCCTGTGTCCAGTTTATTTCTTGCATCCTTGTGTCCAGTTTATTTCTTGCATCCTTGTGTCCAGTTTATTCTTTGCACCCAGTGTCCAGTTTATTTTTTAAATCCTCATCACAATACCCGCCCACAGTGCACTACAGATTACTTCCTAACCGTTTTGTGGTGCCCCAATATACCTGTGCTGTATGGCTATACGGTTGAATGGGGTTTCTGGGATTTTTACCTTTGTGATTCTCATCCTTGAGGTTTTAATCCTATAGAATCCAATCCTAGAGGGGGAAACTAAAACAGAAAAATGTAACCTACAATAATATTGCACACCCAAAACTTCCAAGTTTTTTTTTCATTTCTTTTGTTTAGAGCTTATGGTTAAGAACTGTTTAATCAGCTGATGTGTTGAGTTGTTCGCTTCTGGTCTTGAGATTTTAATTTGCTTGACTTCATCCTTTGACATTTTTGTCTGTCAGTGCAATTAATCATCGGTGGAGATGTAACGTTAACAAATGTCAGTTTGTCAAGTGGTTTTATAGTTTTACAGCATTACTGTACATCATTTAAGTGGTTTTAATAATTGAAAAGCATTACTATATATATCAGTTATGTGGTTTTACAATTAAAGCATTTATAGGTTTTACCACTACTGTTTGTCAGTCAGTGAAAAGATGTGATAGTTTATGACATAATCTTATGTTAATATGTTTAAATAATCTGTGTTATTATAAGGTTTTCTATTTGTAGGCATTATTGCAATAGTAGATGTATTTATGCTATCCCAGAATGTGAAATTCAGGTTGCATTAAAAAATCTGAACACTTCTTAGAAGCAGTACATCAACACGGGGAAGGAAATTTTTGAAAGAAGATAATTAATCTGTAATCTATGTGTGGGTTCCAGGGCCCTGTTATAGGGAAAACAAGAATAGACTCACTCCCTACCCAAAAGCATGTTGTTAGAGTCAACTAATTGGGAGCTTCCTCAAAGTCAGATTGCATCTGCCCGAGTGGCAAGGAACCAGCAGTCTGCATACAGATGAGTCAGATTTGTAAAGCGGATGCACACACAACACTCAGGTTCTGGAACAGGACTGCAGTCTAGAAGTTGATGAACAACTAGAACTTCCCACCAGAGTTTACAGCTGGTGAACAGAAAGAAGAAGAAGACTAATCTGTAAGCAAAGCAATAGAAATGTATAAAGGTTTTTTTTTTTTTAAGTCGGAGTGCATCTGCCTGAGAAGTGATGAACCAACAGTCTGCATACAAATAAGCCCCATCTGTCAAATGGATGTGTATGCAAAACTCAAGTTCTGGAACAAGACCAAAGTCCAGGAATGGACGAACAACCAGAACTTTCCACCGCAGTTTACAGCTGGTAAACGCCAATAAGCAGAAGCTGCTGCAGCCTAGCCTAGCTGTCAACCACCATAACTCGGTGTTGTTTAAGAGTGAAGGCGACAAAGACTGAACGTTTGTCTTATTGTCAAATGTATTGTATTTTTCCCAAAGACATGATCTGAATATCAAGGAGAGTGGCTCGTAAACAGTTATCGTTTCTCATAAAATGCAGTACTTCAGCAGCCTTATATTTCTACATTGGTTCGGAGAGAGCAACAGTGGCAATTGAGATTTGTGAGAGAAGAAGCGTGATTGTGGACACAATGCCAAGGACACCCTGGGTGTGAAAGTTCATCAGGCAGGACAGTTGCTAAAGGACTGAATGGCTTTCTGGCATACTGTGATGACAGCAACATTCTGCAAAGGACATGCCACATGCTGATGATGACTGTTTTCTTCTACTACCAGGATTAAGTAGGGCAATATTATAAATAGATTACAAGTAGACAATAGTTACCTCATTGTGATGGCTACAATATATTTATTGATAGAATCTCACATTTTATAGCTTTTCATTTCATGTTGTGATATTTTGTTCAGGTTTTCTTTTGTAGCATTTTTATATGCTTATTTTATGTTTATTTGTTTATTTACAGTTTTCTATTTGTTTGCCAAAGTACACATACATAATGTTTTTGTTACTGAGCCCCAGTAAAAGCAACTAACTACATGGTGTGTATCTGTAATTGTGTTTCTGTAAAATTAACTAATTATATATCACACCATGAGAAGATTCACGTTGCTTTTTTTTTAAAATTCATACTCAGTTAAGTGATTTTGTGTATTTGTGCAGTTTTGTTTGATTTATGTATGTGCTGATAAAGGCTCTATAGAGCAACGTTCACGTTTTGTTTGTGTTTGTTATATTGTGAAGCTCGCTGATCTACTTTTCGTTCAGTTTTATATCTTTCCATAGTAAGGCACTTGATGATGATGATATTACATTTTTGCTAATCTGAAATTTTAAGTTAATTAATTAAAAAGCATGTTTTATCTTTTTGTATCACTCATTGCTTATCCTATGTAAGTTATATTAAATATGCACTATGTTCACAAAATTATTTCTATTATTTGCCAGTTTATTTTTATTTTTTTACCCAAAAGATTTTACCCTTTTAAATTTTTGTTTTTGATCATGCCATTGTTGTTTCATTATAATACATATAATATATTCAAAACTGATCCATTGTTTTAATTTTTTTTTATTGTGGCATCTTTGTCTTATTACCTCTGCTGATTATCACATACGTCAACAGTATATGCAAGGATGTCATGACAAGGAACATAGATATAAACATCAAGAGTAAGAAACTAAACTATTCATCCTAAGATACGCAACGTGAAACGCACAGGCTTAAAAAAAGTCCACAGTTTTGAAATCTAGTTGCCTGAGCCTTGAAAATTGTTCTCATCTATGAGGGTCAAGTTGGGACAGGCATTATCTGTGCAGAGTGGCAAGCATCACTTCAGAGGTCCCGGGTAGTTAGCTTCCTTTAGATATTTTCTCCAGGCCATGCCGGTGTGTCGGGAAATTAGCAGGCAGATAAACTGGCCAGTTCTGCACCACTTAGTGGTGAATTAATGTACAACAAGCTAGACGTGAGGGCCCTCTGGAAGCGAGTGAGCAGTGCAGAAGCGAAAAAAAAGATCATTACGGTCTAAGGAGAACGTGCTACGAGGAGTTGCCAGGGGATCCGGTCGATGCTCAACACTCAAGGGGAAGGTGAGCGGATATACAATCCGCTTTATCATAAAGTAGTGCCCAGAGTAGTGGCAGCAACTAATCTATCAACCTACTCGTTACCTCACACACCTGACTGTTGTGGACAGAAAATCATGATATGCTCCTTAGCCTTATCAAGTATTGCAAGCCACTCTGACGCAGGAAGCCAGTTGTTTCCGAAGCATGCTCTGTGAGTCTGTTACAATTACAACATGTCGGTCTGCGCTGCAAACAAGCCCTCGTAAAGCTGCTGTTACTGCCACCAGCTCCATTCTTATACTGGATGTAGCGACATTGTTTTCAGACAGTGTCCATTAACCTTTGCATACACACAAAAACCACCCACTCTTCCTACCTCTCATTACAGATCCATCTGTATATTTAATGATGTCCCCTGGGCATACATTTTCCAGGGCACGAACACTAAGGACATTTCAATTGCAGTGGGGAGTGACAGCAAATGCAACCAAGGCCAAATTGAATGCTTCACCCGCATCCTCTGGGCGATGAATGGATCATTCTTTTAGTTTGTCGTCATTTAGTAGGCAAAGTCCATGTCCTCCCCTGCTTCCTCCAGATCTTCTCCTTTCATGTCGCACTATTGTCTCCGATAAGTATATGTTAACACAGTCGACATCACTGCACACTTGATATTCCTGTACGTGCTCAGTCTTCCGATGCAGCATCCACTGCACGGTATCAATACTGATTGTTCCCAGCAACAGTTGGTTATAGTGTCTCCTGTCTTGACCTTGAAGATGGCATAGACGTGCTTCTCCGAGCTTTACTCCCGTGCCTAACAATCCTGTTAGCATCATCGATTCATCATTGTCGTTGTTGATATTAACTTTGTCCATGCTTTTTCATATATGCACAGGTGCATTACTTGCCAGCTGGTAAACTCGTTTTACTCCTGCATGATCAGATGTGTAGATCCAGATGATGGGGGTTAATTGCAACTTCCGAGTTCTTTCTACCTATTCAGGGCGTAGACTACCTGTTGATATTTTCTTAAGCATGTTTCATGAATCTGATACAATTGCCACGCGTGTGACCCTTTGGTCTACTGCCCACGCGAGTGCTCTGGAAGCGCGGTTATCTCAGTGGTCATGCTTGACATAGTTGTCTGGTAAGAGCCAATATATTCTTTTGTTTCTTCTTCTTCTGCGTTCGACATCAGTCATGCTGAACATTGAGTCCCGTCTGGGTCAAAAATAGGATTGTGCGTTTAAGGTCGCCACCGTTCCCCCATAGCTTCTCTCGCAAAGTGGATCCCCTGGGCCAGTTCCACAGTCTTTGCTGGGATAGGTAAGGGCAGTATTGCTGTATGTGCTCAGGGGTTTGTCTTTCTGCTCCACAATCACAAGCAGCAGATTCTTGTATGCCTATCCTGTCCAGGTGTGCTCAAAGTCCACCGTGTCCAGTCCGAAGTTGTTTGTTTTTCCCTTTGTTTGTGCTGTGCATGCTGACCCTGACCCGCGCTTTACAGAGCAATCTGTGTAGATGATGATAGCGTCTTTTATGTATGTATGCTGGTCAGTCAATGCCCTTACCTAGGATGACCATGCGTTCTGTTTTTAGGTGTGTCCCGGCCGTCCCGTTGATACGCCAAAACAAACAACAGTCGTCCCGTTTTATACAAATGTCGGAACAAGCTCTTGAATTCTGCTTACACGTATAGTTTTATCTGGGGATCTTACAAGATTTCATAGTTTTAGATACTTTTCATGCTTGAAATATGTTAATCAGAAATGTTATTGAAGCAGTTATTTTTCCAGTGCCGTTTCGGAGCATACTGTTTCGCTGATTTTTTTGGCGGCAACTATTTGGATTTTGATATCATTTCCGATTAAGTAATTAACCTTTCACCCGGGGGACCTAGAGAGAGCGAGAGAGAGAGAGAGAGAGAGATAGAAGAATGGGTAGAGGTGACCTGACTTGCTTGGAATGTCCCGTTTGTAGCTCAACATATTTGTGGAATGTCCCGTTTTTAGCTCAAGACATTGTGGTCACCCTACTTTTACCTCTGGTATGGTGTGACCTCCGGTTTTGTGCTCATTGTGCTTGTATTATTATTGTGAAAGAGAAGGGAAGAGAAGGCTAACCACAGAGATGAATGGAGATGGGTAAAATCTGAAGCAATGAACCTCAAGGGCTCGGAATGCTGAAGAAGAAGAGGAGGACTGGAAGTCTTCTTGGTGGGAGTCAGAAACACACTTGGCGGGAGTGTTTCCTGTTTACATGGCACTGATGGCTAACTACCAGATTCGCTGAGTTTTGTGGATGGATGAATAAATCTGCATAGTTTTTGCTTAATTTGTTGCTTTAAAACAAGTCACAGCGTTAAAGAGACACTGAGCAAAACACTGAACATAGCGTTTTGGTAATGGCGATGTTGTTTAGTTTAATACTACTACTTGTGAACTTGCAAAAAATTGTCTGTCATATCGAAAAAGACTTGCCATTGTTGTTAATTTCTTTTGATGGATTTCGATGGGACTACCTCTCGAGAACAGACACCCCAAATTTTGATAGAATTATAAAGAATGGCGTTACTGCAAAACAGGGGATTAAAAGTGTTTTTGTCACAAACACACTGCCCAACCACTGGTCATTGGTGACTGGCTTATACACTGAAAGCCACGGTGTTTTAGATAACTACATTAAAGACCCTAGGATCTCTAAAGCTTTTCTGCCAAAGTACAAAGATGCCAACTATCAGAACGATCCTAGATACTACGACGACGGTGCGGAGCCTATATGGGTAGCAAATCAATTACAAAAACAAGGACGAAGTGGCAGTGTGATGTGGTGGGGCAGCGAAAACCCAGTCAAGTGGGTGAGACCAACATATCAGATGCCATATAATGACGCCATTTCATCATCTGAGAAAGTAGACACTATGATTCAGTGGCTTACAGGAGAATACCCTGTGAATTTAGGCTTGGTGTATTTCCCTGAACCAGACCACACTGCTCATATGTCAGGGCCAGAGTCGGCAGATGTCACAGAACAAATTAGTATTGCAGACAGCATCGTAGGTTATCTGTTAGACAAGCTGGAGAAGAAGGGTCTGCTGGATGATATTAACATTATTATAACCAGCGATCATGGATTTACCAATGTCTCTGCCAGTCGGTTGATACAGCTGGAGTCTATAGTTTCTAGCAGTGATTACGAGTTACTTACTGAAAGCCCAGTAGCATCAATTTTTCCTGTTGATGGTAAGTTTTCTGTTTTTTTTGTAACTGTAATTATTTTTTCTTTTAATTCATTCATGATTGGGTTGGAATCTATTGGTAATTAAATCATAAAACCAGTGCAGAAAACATGAACAACCCAGACCTGAACCCACAACCAGTCTGTAACAACCCAGACCTCAACCCACAGCCAGTCTGTAACAACCCAGACGTGAACCCACAACCAGTCTGTAACAACCCAGACCTCAACCCACAGCCAGTCTGTCTGTGATTAGTGAGGACTATCATCACAGCACTCAGGACATATCTAGAAGTGCTCTGGTCTCCTTTTCAGTAGCTCCACAAAAGTAAAGTGATTGGTCATGCCCATTCTGTGTTGATTAATCAGACACATTGTGCCCTCGGTGAAATGCTTACGTCTGACTGCTCCAGGTTGTATCATGTCCACCAGTCTGGACAAGGATATGGAGTCCTGTTTGTTGTCATGATCTTTATCGTGATATGCATCTCACATGTCATTAATGTCATCACTCCTATCCAATGCCAGGCCAATTATATTGACTGCCTTGCCCACTCGATAATTTGCCTGCTTATTACCTAGAACATCCTCATGTCTCACCTGTCAAAGATGAAAGTTAAGTGAGTTATTCATAATACATTTAATGAGAGAATCCATTTTTGTCTGAAAAAGCTGAACTGGATTTTCTTGAGGATATTGAGTCACTCAGTGAGCCCACATTTATGAACTTTCAGTATCCAGCCACACCAATTCCCTTGTTGCAGCCATGATCTCCATTATGAGGCTGTTAGTTATAACAGCAAAGGCATCACTCATCTATTTAGTGGTTTTTTTCCCCTTTGCACTCACAGTGAACCTCCATGCACTTCATTTGCCTCACATAACCGATCCATCCTTGTAAACCGCAGCATTATCTACATCTTTTTGTTTTTCATCAATCATCATTTTAACTAGTATCCGCTATGCCAAGGATCTGTTTTCTGCAGCTTCTGTTGAGAGAAGTATGGACCGAGATGCTGATGCTTGAAGCATTAAGCAAATTCACCCATTCATTTCCTAGATTAGTATCTAGAAAGTGACAAATCTGCAGTTTTGCATCCTCAGCATGACCCATCCAAGATTTGCCTCTTTTAGGTCTATTGCTTTTAGGCTTGAACACCTTGTCTGAAGTGAGTGTTGCAGTCATGATTTCAAAACATATTAGCGGTTAAATGGTGTTGGAGATCACTGGTTGTGGAGAGAGATTATCTCCCTGGCCAGTGAGCAAACACTTGAGGATAGTGGGTGTCCATAGAAAGTCATGATTAAACTGTGGTTTGCACATTTACCTGCTTCCTTATTGTAATTGGTGCAGATCCCTATTTATGCAGATTTCAAAAAATTGTCAAAGGCTTCCTGGTTGAGCCAGCTGATAATTGGTGCCAGGAAATGTCTGAAAAGTAAAGGCGACCAGTAGGATGTTTACCACAGATTGACAAATCAAGAAGCACAGCTGTACGGTCCCTAGGAACTGTGAATGATAATATGGGCTTAACGTCATGTATCAGTTATTTCTCATGGCATACAAAGAGGGATTTTGTTTACTTTTTTTTTTACTGCTAACAGCCGCTTGAGCTGTTAGAAATACTGGGCTCTCATGTGAGAGAACCAGGTTCGAATCCTTGGTAAGATGATCGATTTACCTTTTTTTTTTTTTTTTTTTTTTGAGGCAGAATTAACATTCTAATCTGCATTGTCCATGTCAACTGCACCAGCCATGCAGCCCTGAATCCTCAGGCTATAGAGCTCTGTCCTACACCACCATAAAGTAACAACTGTTAGGTTACATTTAGTTATTTTCCACTGTTTGTTACCTGTACTTGCAAAATATTTGTTACCTGTTAGGCTAACTTTAGGTTGTTTGTTACATGTACTTGCAAATTATTTGTTACCTGTTGGGCTAACTTTAGGTTGTTTGTTACATGTACTTGCAAATTATTTGTTACCTGTTAGGCTAACTTTATGTTGTTTGTTACATTTACTCAAATGTTGCTGTTTGTTGCTTGTTACACTTCAGGTATTCAAGAAATATAACAATGCATTTGTAAGTTGTTACATTTTACTTACTAACTCTTTATTATTTATTAGGTGTTCCACTTGCTTTTAACTATTTGTTACATGTTAAATATTATTTTTACTATTTGTTACATGGTACACCCATAGTTTTCATCACATGTTACACTTTTCTAATGTTTTCTTACATGTAGCAATAACTTTTTTTTTACAATTTGTTATATGTTACTACTTGCAGGTCAACTGGAGAGTGTCTATTCAAAACTGAAAGCAAATGCCACTTCTGCAGACAGTCACTTTAAAGTTTACAAGGCAGAAGAGATACCAGAGAGGTTCCACTACAAGAATCACCCGAGGCGGGTGCCGCCAATCATCGCCATAGCTGACCTAGGTTACTCTTTTGTGTCTAACACATCCCGTGAATTTACTCTTGGTAAGTGGTCGCTTGTGCTTGTTTATTGTCTGGATGGCATACAGAGCTGCTGAACTACTATAATACTGTGCTAGGACCCCGTCCCAATGATGGGTCAAGGCCGATCTGCACCTCTCTGGGTCATCCTAGGTTCCTGCAAGGAGCCTGGCCAGCATAGATACGATCAGCTTCCATCAAAGTCGGAGTGTATCTGCCACGGAACCAGCAGTCTGCATTCAGAAAAAAGCTAGGTCTGTAAAATGAATGCAATTGCAACACTCAAGTCCTGGAACAAGACTAAGGTCCAGGAGTAGACAAACAGCCAGGACTTTCTGCTGGAGTTTACAACCATGAATGCTAAAAAGAAGTCACCCGAGATTATTGAAAAGCAGAGAATCTGGATGAGAGGTAGCTGGTCATACAGTTATAATGCTAGGCTCTTGTACCAGAGACCAATGTTCAAATTCTTATTAGAGCAGTGGACATTTGCTTGTTAAAAAAAATACAAATCTCAACTTGCACAGTTTATGGTGACTGCATGAGAGTCATGTGGTATTAAATCCAGGACTTAAGAGCCTCATGCCATACATCAGCCTAAAAAGTAGTGATTCTCCTTCTTCTTTATTTCCTCTTTTACTGCTTCGGGTGTCAAGGGAGATATCAGGTTCTGCTTTTTGCTCGTCTGGTCGCCTCAACCGTAGACACACCATGCTGATTGTACGGCGATATTTGTCTCCATTACTGTACGGTGATATTCTGTTCATAAATTAGGCCGTGAGGTGTAGTCCCAGGTCCATGCCGTACGAATTCCAAGTAAACTATTTTCTAGGGGTAACAAATGACAAAGACCAAGGACGGGCAGAAAAACGCCACTAACAAAGTCAACCGTTAAAACTGCTACAAACACGTCGTTGACAGGCAAATCCAAGACGTTTATTGAACAATTCCGCACAGATATAATGGGTGTCAATGAAATGCATATATTACAGTCACTGTATTAAACGATGGTAAGATAATTACTTTCCTCCAACATGGAGCTCAGAGATGTTGCTCTCCCGCGAACTGCGGCATCAGGACATATAGATACAAGCCTCTGCTCCTCCTGCCTTTCTGGTAACTCTCGTCTGTCTAATTTTTCTGTCGGCAAATGACGTCGTGTCTCTTGTCATATCTCATGTTCATTAGCGATCGTCAGTAGTGTGAATCTCTGCATTGCACACAACACTGATGTAGAGCTTCTCCATTTGTTGTTGGTCTACCTCATGCTCTCCTTCTCTTTTAGTGTATGCCTTGTATGGTATGGCATCACAAGGCAATCTGTCTTAGTGGGCAAACCATCTGATTTGCTGTCTTTGGAGGCGGGGCCTTATTTGGAATTCAATGTCAAGAAGATGGAACCTTCCGGAATGGATTCTTTTAATTTGCACACAAAAATTATTAGAAATTGTTCGTTTAGTTAACATATGTAAAACTGTATATATTCTTGTAGGAAATTAAATGAACTAACACAGTCTTTATGAATCACGCTGACCTTAAGTAACATCTCAGTTTTTATTCAAATTAGCTTTGTTGATTTACAAATTTTGTTTGTTTGTTTTTAAATGTGTGTTTTTTTTTAAACTTAGGACAAACATGACAAAATTTAACAATGTGGGTAAATTTCTGATGAATGAAGCCTGAATTAAGGACAGTGGAGGCCCTTTAGACATCTCTGGCACATGGTTCTACTCCTTTTCCTGCCTACTACTATGTTTTGGTTGCTATGACGCAACAGTCCTTTTCATCATTGTAGGGCACAGATAACAGCCAAAAATATTGATGTAAAATTACAGAACACAAAAAAATCTCATGGAAGCTGCCATTGAACAGCCAACATGTGCAAGAAGCAATCTGGTATGAAGACCAGCCAGCCAATCTCAAGGTTTATATTAGTGGCCGACAGATCAGCCCAGTCATCTTTTTGGCTATTTTGCTGTTGGATTGATAGATTGGCCCAGTCATCCTCAAAGGGTACATGTAGAATTGGTTCTGTGCCAACTTGTTTCCATATGACCTCATTCGTGATTTTTATCTTTTCTGGTCAACTCCTACAGCCTTTCTCAGAAATCTTATTTCTATGGTTACCAATTTTTCTATTCTGATTTGTGGGGAGTGGACCATGTCCAGCGCTGGTGGTCAGTACTGGCAGTGGCCACAGTATTTTGTGCAAGAATAGGAACACACTTGGTTTGTGTTTTTGCACATAATATGAGCGTTATGGAGTCCAGAAGTTGGTAACAGCAGAGCAGGGGAGATAAATATCTAGATGGTTTGGCCACAAAGATGGGGGTGATACAAGAACATTGTCCTGATCCGTGGTTCTGGTGAAACATGACATCTTACTGGCATGGCAGATGATGATGATAGTTAGTTAGTCAACAGATTATCCTCATTGCACGTCGAACCACTCAGTCCATAGTGTTCGGATCCCCTCCTCAGTAAATCCCGCAGCGTGTAGCGGCTAACGACATCAGTTCTGTGTTGGTTTATTATTTTTCTTTAGCTAGCCGAGTAGTGTTCTTGTTTAGTGACACCCCGTTTAATATGTTGTTCTTGCAGTCTAACCATGGTTGCAGATTCACAGTTCTCAGTTAGTTCACGCAAACCTCTTAACTCTCTTAGCGCATTCAGTATATCGGCCTGGTTCATGGCTTGTCCTGCTTTCACAGTAGCCTCACCTCCAAGCCTATCAGCTTACTCGTTTCTTTGTACCCCCACATACCCAGGCACGAAAAAGAATGTCAGCCGTGAATTCTGTAGAGCCACCAACCACTGCCTTCGGACCCAGCCCTTCTCTATTTTCCTGAGCATACTCATCAAGTCACTGAGAAAGCATGCCCCAGTGAAAGACTGTGTCTCTAGCCATGTTACTGCTTTAGTCACAGCCATGACCTCCATAGTTAGACTGCTTGTAGTTACAGCAAAAGCTCCAGAATCTTTCTTCACAACTCTCCCTTTAAACTGAGCCGTGAAAGTCCACGAGCTTTTAACGTGGCAGATTACAGAAACATCTGTGTAAATGACAGCATCACCCTAGATGATGATGATGGACACAGTTACGACCATTCTTGTTATAAGAGGCATCTACGGGATGTTGGCTACCTGCTTTATGTCACAGATTACTGATCATACTTTGCTCACTGGACGTTCACTTATTATCATCATCATAATGTGCCCTGTTTTTAGGATATAACCATGACAGGGTTCAGTAATGATCAGGGCCAAATTAGTCATTTTTGCTCCATGAGTTTTTTAAAATCTTTTTGTTTATATATGTGTTTCTTGTATTTGTTTACTATTTTTTGTAATGTATTTGTTTCTGTCTTACTCTTTCAAGTTGCCTTTTTATAACTTGAAATTGTTTATCATATGTTGTTATCCCAGTGTGGGTTGCAGGACATTATTTGCAGGGATGAATTTATACATGATAAACTAGATTTTGGGAGCGAGTGAACAGAGTGGAGGCACAAATAGATCATTACAGTCTGAGGAGAATGGCGCCGCAGGGTGTTACCAGGAGATCTGGCGGACGATTAACACTCAAGGGAAAGGCGAACAAATATACAGTCAGGCAGTTACTGGTGGATCAGAAGTAGAACTCTTCACTTGCTGCTGAGGATGAGGATGGAGCACTTATGGGGTGTCCCAAGTGTTGTGATGTTGGTTCTATATTCAACATATCTACGGAGGGAAAACAGATTTACTGACCCTTAGCAAACACGTTATAAAAGAGGACTAATTAAAGACTTTTTTCTTTGGGTGTGTTTGGCCAAAAAGCACAGATATTGCAGCTACACAACCACCCATTAAGATCAAACTCAGGTGAAGATATGCTGTCAATGTTGAATTACTTTTTCCTTATGTGAATTTTGGGGTCCCATTTGGGAAGGGCGGGGGGGGGGGGGGGGGGGGGGAGAGACAGTAGACCTACTTCTTTCCTGACAAGCACGTCATAAGAATTGACTAATCAGGTGTTTCCTTTAAAGTCAGAGTGTGTCTGCCTGAGAAGCAAGGAACTAAAAGTCTGGTTAAAAAAAAAATAAGCCAGAAGAAGAAGAAAAATTACTTCTAATGCCTGTCCTCACTCATGGTGTTTTTTCATCATTGGTTTCACTTATCCTTTTATAGCCGGTAGCCATGGTTATGACAACGACTATCAAGACATGCATCCATTTTTTGTGGCAATGGGACCTTCGTTCAGGCAGGGGTTTTCTGTCGACACCTTTAATACTGTGGATGTTTACCCGCTGATGTGCCACCTGCTCCATCTGAAGCCGGCTCCAAACAATGGCAGTATGGAAGTGGTGGCGCTGCTGTTGCGAGAGAATGAGGAGAATACAATGTGGACTTTTGGAACATGTAAGTCTTCTTCTTCATTATCTTCTTCTTCTTATTATTCATTTTCTTCTTCATCTTCTTTGTTCATCTGAGGGCATAATTTTATTGTGCTCATTTACAGAGTGGTGGCTATATTTCTGCCTTTTGGCAGATGCACAACAATTCTTCAGGCATTTGTTGCTCGGGTAAGCCTTCCTTGGGAATGTGAAAGAGACAGTTAGCTTCTGGACTGAGGCTTTTTTTGTGGGTTCTGGTATTTATTCATCTAGAATTGTTGTTTTCTTTTACCATAGCTGTGATATCTGCTGCTGCTGCTGCTTTAAAAGCTGCTACTAATACTACTGCCGTTATTACTATTACTGCTGGAATAACTACTACTATTACTAATCATTTTTTTAAATCATGTGTTGTCTTCACGATAAATGTCAGCTACACTGCTGCCTTTAGTCGGATCCTAGTCTCTTCCACTGAGTGACTCTCATACTGCTGTCTCAGAACTAAGTCTCTTCCACTGAGTGACTCTCATACTGCTGTCTCAGAACCAAGTCTCTTCCACTGAGTGACTCTCATACTGCTGTCTCAGAACTAAGTCTCTTCCACTGAGTGACTCTCATACTGCTGTCTCAAAAACATGAAAATGTTCTTGTTTGACATTTAAATAAAAGTAAATGTGGTGGATTGGCAGTCTTACGGTCTGCAGTTATGGCAAATTTTTGCTTGTTAAATTTGTTAGCTGTTGCATTCTCCTCAGTATGGTGAATGACATTATATCATTCCATATGTTCCATACCCGGCTATTGAGCTGAGTGCACAGCACGACACTGAGCTGTAAATGTCATCTGGATTGCTTTTTAATTGTGCCTAATGCGGTTATGTTTTGAAATGCATATTCAGAAAATGGCGTGTGGCCTGTTGCTAGAAAACTGGTAGTGCCTTATGCTATTAATTGCAGGTGCAACTACTGATATGTTGTAATTGCTGTTTCCCTCGATGATGAACTTTATTTCTAGTGCCAAACTGTTTGTGCTGGGACTTCCAGTGGCTACCTTATGCATTTAATGTGTGTGTATGCTATTGACATTGCTGAGACTGCAGTCAGTGTTAATTTTTATTGCAAAGGACGGTGATAGACATTCTGTGATGCTTTCGCTGGCACAGGAACGGAGTAATTATGGGATTGCCCCTTTTTTTTTTGTGATGTTACAACTTTTATTGCCTGATTATTTAAATAAAATTTTCACCGGGGAAATCAAAGCGTAGGGGTACTCGATGATCATAAAATTGTTAACCACATTCACTAACATCTCAGTCTTCCTAATGCTGCTACCCTTTCATACAGTTCCTCATGTTGTGGTGACTGTCAACCCTAAAAGATTTTTCGTTGTTACTTCAAACTTTACTGAATCTGTGTTTTCCTATGATTTTAAGTGACCTCTGTGAAAGGATCGTTCGACCCCCAAAAGGGGCACAACCCATAGATTGAGAACTGCTGATCTAAGGCATGAAGTTGCACACTAATACTATTACTGCTAGAATATCTACTACTATTGCTACAATGCTACCATTGTTACTACTAATACTGCTACTGTTACAATTTCTATAACTACTTCTATTAAGGGGGTTGCATTGTCTCGAGGCATGGTGTCATCCGAGAGCTAGAGGTTCGGGGTTCCATCCCCAGTAAGGGCTGGGATTTTTTTACATTGACTTGGACTTTAGTAATTCTTCCTGATCTCTGGGTAGTGAGATTGGACGCCCATGTGCATTGCTGCGCTCGTGAAAAGTCCCTTGGCAGTTGGAAATCGAAACGAGTTGCCTTTTGCGATGCCCGGGCAAAAATTTTGAGTTGAAAATCTACCCAAAGTATTGCAGGATCCTCGCCAGTGCTACAGAGCCTGTGCACTGTGCTGAGCTTCTTCGGACTCAGACTTGAGTTAGAAGAAGAATGAAGCACTTATTGGTTACACCCATGTGCCATGTTGATTCATTGTTCAAAACCTCAAACCTCAAAACCTAACTACTTCTATTAAAATAACTACTACTGCCAGAATAGCTACAATTACTACTTCTATTAATACTTCACTGCCATTATTACTAGCTGTCCTTGTCCTTGTACCCCAGGTTGAAAATCATTGCTGTAGTACATGCTCAGTAATTTGTTGGGAAAACATTGTCTTACACATGGAAGGTCTGGAGTGTTAGATACTAGTAGTACCTCTGGCAGAGTGACTGTCATGTCCTTCAGTTCACCACCACAGGGCTAGGTCTGGCACTCAGCTCTCTCCTGTGGCTCCCAGCAGCTGTCAGCATGCGACAGCAGCCACGTGCCGGCAACAGCTTTGACAGGCTGGCTGAACCAGAAGAGGGTAGCCGATATGCGTAACCTGCATACTAAAATTGGACTTGTGCGAATGAAACCTCTTTTGATTCAGCGGACAAAAAAGTGATTACCAGCAGACTGTGGAGAGCTTTGAGCAAGGCAGGGCTCGTAAGGTGCCTTGGTCATCCTCTGCACCAAGGTCCATTTCCTGTCATCTCAACATTGTCCTGCCATTGAATCAAGATGGACACACGCGAGAGGGTGAGGTCGATAAATTGCGCAACACTTTCATCCATTTATCATCCTCATCAATCTTTTTCAAGTCCTGTGGCAGCGGCTTCCACCTGTTATACCATTAAAGAACTTTCCAGGCTCATATTGGTCTAATCCGCCACCTTCGTACTCATAATCGTTGATTATTGCTACTTTGAATGAAAGTAGTCTTCATCACTTGTAATGGACAAACAACAAACAAAGAACCATTAATACTATTGCTCCTACAACACGTATACATACAGTTACCTCTGCTGTTGCTAACACTATGTCTACTTCACATTCCAAGACGCACAGCCATGCAGCAGCAAGAGACACACTGTATTTTTCCATGTACAAGACAATGTTTTCCTATGTACAAGACAGTGTTTTCCCATGTACAAGACAATGTTTTCCCAACAAATTACTAAACATGTACTACAGCAGTGATATTCAATGTGGGGCCCAAGGAACTGGAAAAAAATGTTAGTGTAACAGATTATTACAAGCACAAACAGACTCAATTTTAAAACTCCTTGAACGCTCTCCTTGGAAGAGGGCGTTCAAGCAGTTGTAAAAATGAATCTGTTTGTACTTGTAATAATCTGTTACACTAACAATTTTTTTTTTTTTGACTTTAACCATAAATAAAAAATTGTTTACACTATTTATAAAATAAGCCAAGGACTTATTTTTTAAATGTGTGTGGAGGGGGGAGGGCAAGGTATCGTATCCTTGCCATGTTAAAAAAGATGAGCTCCTGAAAAAGGTTGAAAATCACTGTTTAACAGGATTGCCATCTGTAAGCAAAACTAACAAATATATACACTGGCAACCGAATGAAGACTAAACCTCCATCTAAGCAACTAAAGAAAAACTCTAAAAATGGTCACATTTTTTTTTCATTGTCTAACCATAAAGAACGTGATTGGAAGAAGAAAAAGAGAGATTTGTTCATGTTGCAGTAAGAGACCCAACAATGAGAGTGACCTCCCTTCCCATTAATGCCTCGATCTGGTGTAGCACCTGTACTATGTCGAAGGGTTTCAGGCGTAGTGAGGCGTATTGTACTCCTTGTCAGCAGCCGGCTATATCGAGTCTTCTATGCTGTGACCGCTTTTAACAGTCCCAAAACGTGTACAACTGGCCCTAACCCCAACCGCCCACTCCATAGCCTCAGCTTATGTCTCATGACTGTACGCAGCCTCTATCATATGCTGCATATAGTCGTGCGACCTAGGATGCACCCTTGCAACATAGTAGAGGCCCTACACCAAATCAAGGCATCAGTGGAAGGGGGGGAGGGGAGATCACTCTCATTGTTGGGTCTCTTAACATGACTAGAAACGAGGGTTTTACTTCCCTTCCTTTTACCACCTTTTGTCTCACTAGTCTTTTTTTTTTCTCTTTCAGACATTCTTGTTCTCATTACAACTGCTAGTGTTGGCAGTGTCTTCTCCGTGGCTGCTTGCCGTCAGCATCGCTACCTGAAACGGAAAATTATTCAGCTTAAACTGTCACCAGCCCAGGCCACAATCAAGTACTCCCTACCTGGGAAAGGAGGTGTGCAAGCTTCTCTTCTGTCGGCCGAGGATGATGAGGATGAAGATGATTTTGATGATGCTAATGACGGGGACAATATATTAGAGATTGTTAGTAAAAGATGATGTGATGGTGATGTTACTAGTTAATAATATGTGATCATGATGTTGTTTAAAAAACTGATGTGACCATCATCATTAATGAAAATAGTGGGATGTTGTCTGTTAGGAAAAATGATGATAGTACAGTAATTTGTGGGTTGGTACCTTTTGATGTGGGTTAGCTTGCGAGTTATTACACTAGTATTTGGGTTAGTACAGTAGTTTGTGGGTTAGCTTGCGAGTTATTACACTAGTATTTGGGTTAGTACAGTAGTTTGTGGGTTAGCTTGCGAGTTATTACACTAGTATTTGGGTTAGTACAGTAGTTTGTGGGTTAGCTTGCGAGTTATTACACTAGTATTTGGGTTAGTACAGTAGTTTGTGGGTTAGCTTGCGAGTTATTACACTAGTATTTGGGTTAGTACAGTAGTTTGTGGGTTACCTTGCGAGTTATTACACTAGTATTTGGGTTAGTACAGTAGTTTGTGGGTTAGCTTGCGAGTTATTACACTAGTATTTGGGTTAGTACAGTAGTTTGTGGGTTAGCTTGCGAGTTATTACACTAGTATTTGGGTTAGTACAGTAATTTGTGGGTTAGCTTGCGAGTTATTACACTAGTATTTGGGTTAGTACAGTAGTTTGTGGGTTAGCTTGCGAGTTATTACACTAGTATTTGGGTTAGTACAGTAGTTTGTGGGTTAGCTTGCGAGTTATTACACTAGTATTTGGGTTAGTACAGTAGTTTGTAAAGTAAAGGACCTTTTTCCACACCTTCAGGTGTATTGGGCATATAGACCTCTATTTGATAGACCAAACAGCACTTGGTGGGGATGTGGTCAGCATCACGCCGGACACCTTTACTTCCCAGGACTGCAACTGGTACCCCTTCAAGGGTGGGTTGACCTGGAAGTCAAGGTCAGTTTTGAAAAAAGTCAGGCTCCGTCAGGACGCGAACCCATAACCTTCCAAGCCACATGGTGGCATCTAGCCGCCAAAGCTACGACAACTCCCACAGTAGTTTGTGGGTTAAAATAATAGTATATCCATTGGTAAATAGAATGTGTATTAGAACAATAGTTTGAAGGCTAGTACAATATTTTGGGGTTAGTACAATAGTTTATGGGTTAGGAAAATAGTTTGTGGGTTGGAACAGTAGTATATTTGTCGTTAAAATAGAGCTGACTTTTGGCTTATTATTTTATTGTCAAATACGAACACTGATTTTATAGGTGAAAAGTAAATAGAATTAGTAAAAAGTGTTCAAATTAAATAAATGTGTGTTGGAGTCATAATTTATGATGGTTGAAAAAAAAGTAAGCAAGAAGAACATTGAATGTGATGTGATTAGTTTTAAAATTTAGTGCGATGTAACATTGTATCATGTAAAGTTATATACAAATTATAAACGAACAGACTTACAAACACTTTGAGTCACCAGACCAACTGGAAAGAGAAGACCATCACAGAGGTGGTTGCAGGTGGCCGATTTCTGTAGCATGCAGGTGGCTGATATCTGCAGCATGCGGGTGTCCGATATCTGCAGCATGCGGGTGGCCGATATCTTCAGCATGCGGGTGGCCGATATCTTCAGCATGCGGGTGTCCGATATCTGCAATATGCAGGTGGCCGATATCTGCAACATGCAGGTGGCTGATATCTGCAACATGCAGGTGGCCGATATCTGCAGCAATGAACCTCAAGGACTTATAATGCTGAAGAAAAATTATATATTTGTATCATATTTTTTTTTCCAAATAATATGTGTAATATAATGTAATGTCTGGTGTTTATGGGATAAAGCCATGTATACACCAACTTTTCTAATTCCAGGGGTTTTAAAACGAGAGTAAGAGAGAGAGAGAGCTTTTTAATAATGTATTGATTATTTGTTATTGTCACATTTGCATGTGCTTTGAGCAGCTGTGCACTTTTAATCTTTAAGTACAGTATTAAAAAATATGCTTTTATCATTCATTGACATTGTTTAGTGATGATCGCTAAGTGGCTCGGCAGCTTCTCTGCCTGCATGGAGGCCATTCGTTCAGATCCCATTCCAGACATAATTAATATAAATGAGCTTTCGTCAACTCTGCCTAAAATGGGTACTATGAAATGCCTTTGGGAATAAAGTTGGTCTTCTTCTTCTTCTTCTCTCCCACCTTGTACCTCATCGAAGTGTCGGGGGGAGATGTAATGTTCGTTGATGAGCTCTGTCAAGAGCACTATTAAGACAGAAGTTTATTTCTGTAAGGCTGTTCTTAATGCCATTTCTCTATATTTTCCGAGATCTTCCACTCGCTATATACCCGTTGTAACATTTTAGTGTGGCTCGCTGTGGCAGATAGTACCAGGGCATTCTTGTTAGGTGTCCACTTTATTTGTTGTTCTTTGATGACCTGTAAGACTGGCTTTATTCCTAGCATTCATATAATTTTGTGATTTCATATTCTGTCTTTCCTTGAAACTCCTGCAGCTCTTCTAAGGCATTTCATCTCTGTTGTCACAATTTTACGTTCATTGGAGGATGTTAGTGTCCACGTTTGGCATTGATAGCAAAGTGTTGGCCAAAAAATAGCTCTGGTTAGATACACTTTATTACTCCGAAGTATCTGCTTGTGTATCATCAGGGGAGATAGTGGGGAGATAGTTTCCCCATTACCTGATTAGCTTTGGCACATCTCGAGCTAATTTATCTGGGGAATAAAGTTGGTTGTGGTGATAATGACATACAAACAGCCTGTGCTGCTGGGAACATGAAAATTGGAACTCTGAGCTGCTTACAGAAGATAGGAATGCTGGGCTAATGGGAATATTCCCAGTGCTGTTATGTTGTTCTTCCATTCTGAAGCCAAAAAAAACAAATAAAGCCATGTTCAATCAACTTTTGTTCTTTACTTAACTCAACATAAATTCACCGGCACTGATAAGCACTTACAGAAGTAAAGAAAAGAAGTAGAGACCCCGTGACACCACACTAGATACACTGGTTCCTTCACATTTAGAGATGGCAAATCATCTTGGTTTAGTGTATCTTTGGATCTTTACTCTTTTTTCTTATCTCATCACTTCCTCGGAAGTAAAGACGACCAATATGATCCTAATGCCATCACTCACAGAGTGGTCACCCACAGAGTGGTCAGCCACAGAGTGGTCACTCACAGAGTGCCGATTAATCTGTAAAAGAAAATATGACCTTTTTCTGACCTTATGGTCCCTTATGTTTAAATGTATGTTTGCTGTTTCTCAGATTAGTTGGCACTAAATGTTGATACTGTTGTCATGATAACCCTATGATTTACAACCATGTTCTAAGCTGATTATTTTTCGGAGTGGGTTTTTAACTCCTCATTGCCTGCTGATGCAAAAGACAGAGTACATGTGAGATTTTTTTCTGAGTATTTATGTCATTTCTTGATTGAATGAATGTCAGATTCTTGGTTAATTGAATGTCAGTTTTTGATGGATTGAGCATCAGTTCTTGATTAATTGAATGTCAATTTCTTGATTGAATGTCAGTCCTTGATTGATTAAATGACATCTTTTTTATTCATTCATTTATTCATTCAATTTGAAGTTGTTTTGCTTATGACAGCAACAGGTGATACAGTGACACTTAAGACCACAACAGTTGGGACAGTGAGACAGTAAAAGTAAATGGTTAAGATTATAACAGTTGAGACAGTAACAGATGACACAGTAACAATTGAAAAAGGAACCGTTGCGAAAGTAATCATTGAGACATAACAAATTCAGTCAGTAGCAATTAAAGCAGTAACAGTTGAACTAGTAATAATTGTGACAGTAACAGTTGAGAAAGTGATCACTGAGACAGTAAGATAGTCAAAGTGGAGTAAAGTCACAGAATAACACAATGAAATAGAATAAGTTCATAAATGTACAGCCTGAAATAAAGTCAGTGTGGGTGTTTGGCTACTAAAAGTGTTAATTGATTTTACAGTGGTCAGCCTGCAGAACTTGCTCATTAGTTTTGAATTTGAATGCTGATGTTTGTTCGATTTGTGTTGTAGTGTATCTGTCTAATATAATGGCTATCCAGTGTTTAATTCCGCATTGCCGCCTTCTAATGTGCCACACTGTCAGCTGACCTTGTGTCAGAAGTGGAAAGTTCATATTTGCACAATGATTGTGTAAACAATTGTTGTTACTACAGAGTGTCTATAAGTTTCCATACATTACATAGGAAAAATAAACGTATCACCAATGCCATTACAAGCAAAACTTCAGCTGTGCTTATACATGTTTTTTTTAATCAATGGAGGACACACATCAGAATGTGTTTTCAAAGCAATTTTATTTTGTCCCATATATGGAAACTTATGAGACACTGTGTATATGCTTTAAAACAGTATTCATTATGTGTCTTTAAACACAAGTGCTTTGTAAACAAAAGTTCTGCCTTTTAATAAGTGATTGTGGTAGAAGCAATAGGAGAAATCAGACATGTTGTGGGTGGCACATGGTAAACAGGAATGTTGCCTTTACTGTCTGTTTTACCACTTTAAGGGTGGAGTAGGACAGGAGACCCAGGTTCAAATCTTCAGCAAGGTTAGGGATTTTTTTTTTCTGTCGGAAGCAAAAAAAAAACATTCTAACCTGTGCAGTGCTTGGTAACAGTATTAGCCTTGTGACCCTAAACCCTCAGGATCAAAGACCTCCCTGCCTGCACCGCAAAAATGGTAAATGTAAGTAGTGAATGGCATGGCAGTAGATCAGGGTGGAGGGGGGTGTGAGCCTGAGGATGTAGGGCTGTGTGGCTAGTGCAGTCACCACACTCTCTGCCAGTTAAGATGTTTGTTTCTGCAGGCAAAAGGAATACACGTTTTTAAGTATTTGTTCTGAAATATTATTTCTTATAAGTTTTTGCTGGTTTTAGATAATTATTATTATCCTCCTTATCCGTTATCATCATGATCGTCATCATCTTTATTTCAAGTCCAGAGTTATGTTTCTTGAATGTGTTTCTGCACAGGCCAATGTTGAATCTACAGTTGACTGAGGCTGTG